ACGTAATTTACTTTAGTGAGTAAGCAAAGGTTAGGGTTAACTGGTGAGTGTCAATGAAGCATCATCCAAAGGTTAATCGGAAATACTGGTAATATTATTGTAATCGTAAACGTAAGGTTGTTAAACAAGCTACTTAAGTTGTTTTGCAAGTAAACCAAAGCGAGTTTGCAATCGGCTAAATAAATGTAAACGAATAAATCGATCACAAATGAATAAAATGAACTTTATAGAAGCCTTTGAGCTTTGTAAAGGCCATCATTATTTATTTACAGTTATTTGGTATGTTCATAGATTCGTCTAGATGCAAGAAAGAGGGATTCAATGTAAATTTGTAAACTAATTAATTGACAAGCACCGAATTATTGTGAGTTGCTTGCAATTAACTGACAAAAGTAGTCCAAATAATCGGTATTAACCAAAACGATACCTCGTAATATTACCATTTAATATTAACAAGAATCAAAAAACTGTGAAAAGTTTATTATTTCAAAATAATTTAGCTTTAAGAATAAAATAAAAATAAAATAAAAAGATAAATAATTTTATAGTGGAGATTAAATTAGTCATTCATTGGTTCTTTCTTTTAATTATTAGAATCTAATGCAATCAATGTAGATAAAAATATTGTTAATAAATAATTAATAGATAGTAAGTTTCAATTAATTAATGTAATTTTTATTCACCGTCAACATTTTAGAGAAAAGAGCTAAAATCAAGACTATTTAACGAACTATCATTACTTGTATGAATTTTCAAGCTTTTAGATTTAGCAATCTCTTCATCTAATATTCTACTTGTATGATATGCGTCTGGATGTGATTCGTGTACTTGTTGCGAATCACTATTACCACCACTACTATTACTGATATTACTATTATTATTAAAATTATGCTTTTTTATTTTAGAAAATTTGAATAATCTTTTTATTAAACTATTATTCTTACTATTATTTTTCAAGCTTTCATTTTTAAAAATTTCCCTATCTTTATTATAAGCAAATGTCAAAAGCTCACTACTAGTTGGTCTTTTTGATGGGTCCACATCCCAACACCTCTGCATCATTTGCACATAATCATCAGGTATCCCAGGTAATATTGGTGGTCGTAAACCTTCACATATATCAAAAATCAAACAATGATTGTGAGCTCTATTGTCAAATGG